GCCTCTGTGCAGCCCCATGGCCATGGGGAGCGGTGCTTTCACTCTGGCCCTGGCCCTGGCCCTGGCGACATACGTCATTCCTGAGGAGAGGAAGGTACGGGGACAAGTGATGGTGGGGATGTGGCAGATGTAGCACAGGGATGCAGCGTGGGCAGCCAGAGGTTCTCTCTCAAATGCCAGTTCAGACTGGCACAAGCAGGAGATCTTTGCAAGCACCTAGTCCAGGGAATGGGCAGGGTATCTTTGGGTCACCCCCAGCTCCCTGGTACCACCTCCACAGAGCTTTGCTCCCACTGGGGCATCATGTGCAGGGCATTCCCTCTCACAGGGTCTGTGTTTGGGACACCATGCCTGGGGCATCCCTTCCTGTGGGGTCTATGCTCAGGGGCACCATTCATGGACCATCCTCTCCCGTGGGGTCTGTGTCTGGGCACACCATGCATGCTGACAGGCTGGCAGGTGTTGGCCTTGTTGCACTGTCCACTCAGCAGCCAGCAGCACCTAGGAGAGCATTTCCCCAAACCGGAGACAGGGAGATCCCTGCCCCACAGTTGTACTAGCAGCAAGGCTTATGGCTCTGGCCATGGGGCAGTGGGAGGGATGGGGTCCCTCATCACTGTGTCCTTTCAGTGCCAGCTCAGTGGGCTGTGGAGGAATGAGCTGGACTCACTGATGGAGATTTCGGCTGTGAGGGACAACGGGGACTTCCAGGGGAAATACCTCACACGTGTCACCCTTGCCGGCAGCTGTGCCCATGCCTCCCCCCTGAGAGGTGCCCAGCAGCAGCCCAGTGAGGGGGGTTGGCCCACTTTTGCCTTCACCGTGCGCTGGGACAAGTTCTCCAGTAAGTGCTGGGACACCTGGGGATGGCACCACGGGGGGACCGGCAGCTGTGCAGATGGCCAGCAAGTTTTTTCTTCTGCTGGAAAGTCTGCTGAGTGATGCTTTGGTGCAGCTAAGCAGAGGGAGGTAAAGGTATCTGACCAGTGTGGGGCTAACACACAATGCTGGGTTTGCATGGGGCAGCCCTTCCTCACCCAGCCCCTTTGCACCCATCCCTGCTGGGCAGCCCGAGTTGAGCATGGTGGGTCCGGACCCCATTAGGGCATGGGGGACATGGTGCCACAGAGCCTGCCTTGCCTGAGGGAGCCCCTGGGGAAGGGCAGGTCCCCCCCCGCAGGGGTTGGGGGTGTGCATGGCTGTTGGAGTAGGAACACAGCTGCCACTGAAAGGACCCAGGGGAGGGGGAAGCAGACAACGAGCGTGGGTGCTGTCCCCACTGACTACTCATCAAGTGCTTCCCCAGATGCCACCACTGCCTTCACGGGGCAGTGCTTCATGGACACGGGTGGAAAGGAGACACTGACCACCATGTGGCTGCTGCGTGAAGCTGTTGGGTCCCTCGAGGAGGACTGGAAAGCCACGAGGTAGTGGAGGGGTGTGGGGGGCAGTGTCCCTACAGAGGGGGTCATCCCCAGGAAGGACCCCTGAGAACAAGCATCCCCATGGGCGAGGGGACCACCCCTGGGAACTCTCCAGCATGTGTTTGCCAGGGGGATGCCAATGCCTGATGTCAAAGGGCTTGCCCTGGGCAGGGACATCTGGCAGCTGCTTGAGGCAAGTTGGGGGGCATTTAGGGACAGCCCTGTCATCTGCTAGCACGGGCAGTTCTAAGTGAGCAGTGTGTGCGGGTCATCCCACAGGAACTCTCTGCTTCCCATAGGGTGGGCAGAAATGTCTTCACACGCAAACGCATCCGAAAAGGAAAGATCCTGCCAAGCTTGTCCCCATCTTGTGAAGACACATCTTCACCTGCCCCGTGATGGCATGCTCCAGCTGTAGTCCAGCCCCCCCCAAGACAAGTAAACCAGCCTCTCACATAAAAATAAAATTAAAATTCATGTCAGTTGTCATTGTCTTTTTTTAAAAACTGCCCCTGCTCCCTCTCTGGGGCAGCTTATGTCCCCTTGGGTACCCCTGCAGAGTCAAGGGCTCACCACTGCCCTTCCCCAGGGACATCTGGATCCCTCCCTGATTCCCCCCCACCCAGCTCCCTGGGTTCAATTCCCACCTCATCCTAACCCAAACTTACACCCTGTGCCACCACTCCCCACCTGCCTGCCAGCTGCAGAGGTGGCATCAGCATCCTGAATCAAGCTGCCTTCCTTGTAGTGCCTTCATATCCATCCCCACCAGACGCCTTACCAGTCCCAGGACTTCATGCTCCATAGGGCTGGGTGATGGAAGTAACAGTATCGGCAGATGTGAAATATTGATAAAGTGTTTCCTCCATGCTGCACAACACTCAGAGTAAAATGTGTACAGTTAAAACCCCCATCCCATGCCATCCCATCCCATCCCATCCCATCACATCCCCCTGGGTTATAACCAGGGATTTTACCCTCTTTTGTCACCGCATTTTGGCAGTGCCACTCTATCTGCCTCTGTGGACATCTGCCAAGCTTAGTCAGCCCTTTCAAGTTTTTGGCAGGTCCACGGGTGAAGGCAAAGCCTCTTGCACAAGTGGTACAAATATAACCTAGGGATGACAGCACACTAACTGTGCAGTCTGTTGAGCCTGGCCCAGCCCCAGCAAGGCTGGTGCACGCTGTCATGTCTTGGAGTGGTGGCTGCCACCTCCCTGGCACCTCAAACAGGGCAGCTTGTCCCTGCCAAACAGTGCAGAAAGGCAGGGGCTGGTGTCAGGCTGAAAGGATGAAGTGTGGCATCCAGGGCAAGAGATCCCCTTGGGTGTAGTTCTCAAGCCCCTGTGATAAGCTCATGAGTTTGGGACTGTAAAAGGCAACAAGGAGGAGTGATGTGATAGGAGAGGGTTGATTTCCACTGACCTCAGACTTTGGGGACATCCAGACCACAGTGACAGGTGCTGAGCAGCAGCAGCAGAGGAGTGCTGGGGTGTGCTGGGGCTTATGGCAGGCGCTGAGCAGAGCTGCCCTGAGGTGGGACTCCCCCACCCTCAGTACACAGACCACAGCCCTGCTGCCATCCAGCGCCCCAGACACTGCTGTCCTAGAAACAGCATGTGTTTAGGAAGTTGAATCCTATGTTAATTTTCAGTTGCCCACAGCCCCATGCCTGCTCCAGGCACTGCAGCAAGCAGAGAAGCAGCTCAGGAACACAGGGACAGTGCAGGCTGTGTTTTGTACATCCAAGGCCTCTAAGACCAGCACACATAAGGAAGAGGTGCAAATAAAAGGCTGGTTAGCGTGCTTTGTGTGTTTAGCAAACATACTCCTTTGAACCCCATTTCCTCTCTGGTTACTTCTTCCTTCAACTCTTGTGAAAGCAAAAGCAGCAAAATCAACAGCTGAGGTGCTGGGGAAATGTTATGCTGCTAAAGCAGAAGGCAGGGCAAGCCTTCCCTCCTGCGCAGTGCTGCAGCCGTGGCAGCTTCTCTCTGCCAGGGATGCCCTGAGGCCACATGGGTGACCCTGGTCAGGCAGTGGCACCATCAAAGCAGGGACCAGCTAAGGTAATTATCTCCAGCAGGTAATTATCTCCAGCTTGAATGCACAAGAGGCAGACTCCCAAGGAAGGTATTTGATGCTTTCCGGGCCACTATAAGGGCCTCAAAAAAAGCCCATGCCCCCGCCCCTCTCTCTGCAGCCGTGCTCATCCCTGCATTCCTCCGGCACTGCCCAGGTCACTCAGACCTCCTCGCCTCGCCTGTCCCAGGCACTCTGCCATTAGGCCACCCACCCCACAGCTGCCAGCCCGCTGCCTGTGGGGCTCTGGTTACAGCCCTATAAAGGGGGCCGGGCCGCAGGGCCAGGAGGGAGTTGTGCTGGCCTCTGTGCAGCCCCATGGCCATGGGGAGCGGTGCTTTCACTCTGGCCCTGGCCCTGGCCCTGGCCCTGGTGACATACGTCATTCCTGAGGAGAGGAAGGTACGGGGACAAGTGATGGTGGGGATGTGGCAGATGTAGCACAGGGATGCAGCGTGGGCAGCCAGAGGTTCTCTCTCAAATGCCAGTTCAGACTGGCACAAGCAGGAGAACTTGCATTGCCCCTGCAGAGAGGAATGTATGGGGACAGGTGACAATGGGGACTTGGTACTGACACCCTGCTAGACCCCAAAGGCAGCTGCTGAGGCTGCGGTGCTCAGCACGGAACTGGGGCTGGGCTGCCAGAGCTGGTGGGATCATCCCTACTCAGGGCTGAAGGAAGCTGCAGAGGGTCTGGGAGGGAGGGACTGCTCCTGCAAGGATGCTTCTGGCTGTGGGATTCCGTTGGACAGGCAAACAAAGCCATGCCCCAGAGAAACCCCATCTCCCACCAAGCGTGGAGGGAAAGCAGCACACCCTCTGCTTTAACACAGGTAGGACCCGCTCTCCACTGGGTGATCGCAGCAAACAGCCCCGAGCAGTGGCTGTGCTAAGGCAATCAGTGCCGCGGGTGTGATGCTTGCGCTGAGGTGGTGATGGGTCTGTGTTATGTACCCCAGTGCTGCAGGCATCCCTGGGCAGAGCCAGGGTGGTGGGGCAGCAGCAGGATGCCCCCCTTCCTGGCTGGGCCCCTGAAGCCACAACACTGGCCTTGCAGTGCCTCCTCTCCGGGTCATGGCGGAGCGACACGGGCTGCCGGATGGTTGTGTCCTTCCTCAGAAAGGACGGCAGCTTCTCCGGTTCCTACCTGCCGGGTCCTGCTGCTGGTGGCTCTGAAATCCTCACATCGCCACTGGAGGGGACCCAGCAGGATGCAGGGCTGGTACCACAGCCCACCTTCTCCTTCACCGTGCGCTGGCAGCTCCGAGGTAGGCAGGAGGGAGCCATCACCCTGTAGCAGGGATGCCAGCGGAATGCAGGGGAGTGGCTTCATCCCTCATCACCCTGATTTATGCCACCTTGGACCCTTCCAGACTCAGAGACAGCCCGGATGACCGCCTTCCTGGGCCAGTGCTATGTGGGTACCAACGGGGAGGAGACCCTGCACGCCCTGTGGCTTCTGCGAGAGGCGGCCAACAGCCCCGCTGAGGACTGGAAAGCCACCCGGTGAGTGCCAGATCCTAGTCACTGCTGTGCCAAACTTTCCTGCACCCTGGTCTGGAGAAGGTAGAAATCCCATGGGATAGGACATGGCCGGACTGGGAGGGTGAAATGGGTTTGTCACTGGTGACAAGCAGGGACTAAGGAACATCCCTGTGACCTGGTCAGCCCCTGCATCCCACATGTGCCCCAGGGTGGGTGACGTCAAAATAGGGTTGATGACACCCACCCAGGACTCTTCTTGCAATCTCCTTGTCCAGGAGATGATGCAAGCCTCTGCTACAGGGTTGGAGCCCAGGGTATCCCACTCAGCACCCAGTGAGGCAGCAGGGAACACAGTGCCCCTCCTTGGGTTTCCCCTCTGTACCCTTTACCACAGCATAGGTGATCCCAGCTGGGTGAACCACAGTGATTTGGGGTTTCCTGCAGGATTGGCACCAGCATTTTCACCCGGATAAAATAACAGCAAGCCAGGAAACCTAAGAGGTCCAGGTCAGCAAGGAGATTGGACTTCCCCCAGGAGGCTCTGCCCACACTGATGTGTGGCATTTCAACAGCTGTCAGCCCACAGGTTCATGCTTTCCCAGGCAAGTTCAGCCCAGCGTGAAGGCTGAGCACCAGGTACAAAATAAAGGGTTTCTGTGAGGATCCAGGGCTTGGATCTGTTTTCTGCCCTTTCTCAAAGCTGCAGGGTTTGTCTTGCTCCACAACCACCTTCCCATGGGGAGGCTTCGTGCAGCATTGCGTAGGGCAGCAGGGTCCCTGGGGATAGGGTCTGTCCCATGTCCCCTCTCTGGCAGTGTGCAGCAGTGCTGTGCCTGCAAACCTGCTGCTGTGCTGTGCGTAACTTGTCCCTTGGAGTCCCTCCCAAATATCCCCAGGTGTGCGAGGCAAACTTGAGCTGTGACCAGGCAGCAGAATGAGGCACAGCCTTGCTGGGATGCCATGGGCAGCAGGTCCCAGCACTGCAGGGCAGGCTCCAGGCAAAGCCTTCCTTGTGTGAGCAGAGCAGAGGAAGTTTTTCAGGTGCCTGAACACGCAAGACAGCTGCAAATGGCTTTTGCAAACCCGGCAACCTCCGTTCCCAGCCCCAGCAGATGCACTGTGGTGGCCAGCTGCCAACCACCCTCCCGCCCCAGGGGTGGGGAAAGGTCCCAAAGAGCCTGTCCCAAGAGAGGCCGCTCTGCACGTCTGTGTCCCCCGAGGAATGCAGATGTGGGGGTCTCCAGCCAAGGCCCTGCTGCAGGACACGAGGCCAGGAAAAGGGAAGAGGGGAAAGATGCATCTGGCACTGGCTTTTTTTTTAGCACTCTTGCCTGACTTCTCCGCTTTCTGCTTCAGGCACCTTTGCCAAAGTGGTTCTGACATGACCAGTGCTCCTGGGGGTTCAGTAGCCCTGGGGCTAAGGTTCCTGGTTTTGAGAGCTGGAGGAAGGCAGTGGCTCCAGTGCTGTTTCCAGATGCTTTTTTAACTGATTTTTTTTTTTGCGCTGATTTCTGCTACTTCTTCTGTTTCCACCAATATCCAGCAGCTGGTGCTAGTGAATAAAAATACACGGGGTTTTGTTTTCCCTTGAAAAGGAGAGTATGTCTTGCTTCTGTAATTAACTGTCATTCCCACCTCTCCAAGAAACCCTGATCCCTTTAGAAAAAAGAAGTATGTTTCCTTTAAAGCTACAAGCAGGAGGTGTTCTGTACCAGCCACAGAGCACAGGCCCTCTTCAGAAACAGGAAACATATCTTATTTCGCACTTTCATAACTTTCAGTATGTTGCTACCATGGAAAGGAGATGGCACTACTGACACTCAGGGAGTCACCAAGCAAAAAAGAGATTTTCATTCAGCAACACCCATATGGGACTTGCTGAACCGAATATTCTGAAAGGCTCATGGCTTTGGTCTGTTGGTGTGCTCCCACAATGCTGACGCAGTCACCTGACAGAACATACATAGTATGTGGGTTAACCTTGGGAATAACAGAGGGAGCACAGTGGGGAGGGCAAGCAGGGACCCTAACACCAACCTAAGCCAGGGTGCAGGGCTCTGTGTGTATGTGTGCAAACAGCGCTGATGCATTCTGATCCCTGCAGCGTGCAAGGGAAGATGTCATGGAGGGTGCAGTAAGGAGAAGGAGGAGGGTGGCAGAAACACCAGGTGCCTCCTGTTCCTCTGTTTGATAGAAACAAGGTGCAAGCCTCCTCAGCTGAAGGACTCATGCCAGGCATTTTCATCATGGCCGCCCTTTAACCCAAGGTGAGGCCCAGGCTGGGCTTCCTTCCTCTTGCTGGCTCAGAGCCGCTTGCTGTTGGACCGAAATGAGAACACAGAAAGCAATGAAAAATAGCAGCCCTGGTGTGGTGGTGTGCTCCTCCGCAGCCCTCCACTTTCTGCTTAAAGCAATAGCCACCAGCAGTGGTCATGATGGCTGCATCTGGTTTAAGCCGAACTCCGGAGAGACAGATAACAACACAATAAGGGCCATAAATCTTGCTCAACAGCTGAGGACTAGTTGAGCATGCACGAACTGAAACACAGCTGGTCTGAAAATAGAAATCAATCAACTTACTCCAGAAATAGTGGATAGCCTCAGGGCCTGTTGATCTCTCCTACACAGAAGCAGACTGCACGCCAGGGTCTCCCTTTGACTAGTGATGCCTCTCAAAGTGACTCCTTGAGACTCGTTAGCACATCAGATACTAAGTGAATTAACAATAATAAAATGAAATGCCTCTCAAGGTTACTTCTTGAGATTCCTTAGCAATCTCAGATAGTGAATTGGGAATGATGAAATGAAAAGTGAGAATGGGGTTGCATGGCTCCTGGAGAAAAAGGTCCAGTTCCCTGGGGATGCTTGCTGCCTGCCTGCACCATCCAGGGCAGAGATGCCATCGGATCCTGTTATGAATGTGCTGATGCTGGTCCTGAGTCAAGGCCCATGGGTGAGCAGCCCCTTGCCTGTCTCTCCTCCCCAGGCAAAACACATTTACCTGCATCCTTTTGCTTCCTGGGTGGGTTGCAAGCATGGTGCTGCCTCCAACCATCACCTTGCAGGGCTCTGCGCACCCAACCCCCACCCCCCCAC